TCAAAAGACGCTAGGTCTTTATCACTTATGGTTTACAAGCTACAACTACATTTTTCTTATTAAAAATACAAAAGGGGAAATAACTCCCATATGTAGTCTCCGGACCGCTTCGGTCAAAATTATTTTTAAGATCCTGAAGATATAACAAGCAAATTGGTGAAATAATTTTGTCGTAATCTTTAACGGTTGCGAAGTAGATTTGTACACAAGAAAAACAGTGTTTGGGGAGATAACTCTTACAATAAAAAGTGTTCGGCTTAACAGGGTCAGTTTCAAAATCGTAATAACTGTTTGATATCATATGCAAAAAATCTAAGCAACATCTTGCGAAACAAAAAAGCACCGTCAGAAAAAAGTGGCGGAAGAAGAAAAAAATAATAATAATAATCAGAAGAAACCCAATAGGTCTTTCCACAGAAAAGTGGAAAGACCTAATTAATAAAATGCTCCGCAGGGCGCAGCTTGATACGACCGCAGAGGTCGAACCCTGAACAGTTGGGGCAAGTATGGACACAACATTCAAGCTTGATACAGCTTTGCATTTGGAATGTGATTAAATATTTGACACAGCATAGGTTTCTGACACAGAATGAATGTGGTCTAAGAACTTAAAAATTTTAAATTGGACATTCACCTGTTATGGTCCAATATCCAAAATCTAAATACATGGTTAGATTCAGCATATCAAAGAACCCCAAGAATTCAATTTTTGATGAAATCAAACAAAGTTTAATTTTGGACCCTTTTGACCTCAATGTGGACAAAGTTGATAACAGGGCCCAAAAATCAAAAATCTAAATACATGGTTAGATTCAGCATATCAAAGAACCCCATATATTCAATTTTTGTTGAAATCAAACGAAGTTTAATTTTGGACCCCGATTTGGACCAACTTGAAAACTGGGCCCATAATCAAAAATCTAAATACATGTTTAGATTCAGCATATCAAAGAAACCTAAGAATTCAATTTTTGTTAAAATCAAACTATGTTTAATTTTGGACCCTTTGGACCTTAATGTAGACCAATTTGAAAACAGAACCAATAAAATGCTCCGCAGGGCGCAGCTTGATACGACCGCAGAGGTCGAACCCTGAACAGTATGGGCAAGTATGGACACAACATTCAAGCTTGATACAGCTCTGAATTTGGATTGTGATTAAATATTTGACACAGCATAGGTTTCTGACACAGAATGAATGTGGTCTAAGAACTTAAAAATTTTAAATTGGACATTCACCTATTATGGTCCAATATCCAAAATCTAAATACATGGTTAGATTCAGCATATCAAAGAGCCCCAAGAATTCAATTTTTGATGAAATCAAACAAAGTTTAATTTTGGACCCTTTTGACCTCAATGTGGACAAAGTTGATAACGGGGCCCAAAAATCTAAATACATGGTTAGATTCAGCATATCAAAAAACCCCATATATTCAATTTTTGTTGAAATCAAACAAAGTTTAATTTTGGACCCAGATTTGGACCAACTTGAAAACTGGGCCCATAATCAAAAATCTAAATACATGTTTAGATTCAGCATATCAAAGAACACTAAAAATTCAATTTTTGTTAAAATCAAACTAAGTTTAATTTTGGACCCTTTGGACCTTAATGTAGACCAATTTGAAAACGGAACTAAAAATTAAGAATCTAAATACACGGTTAGATTCGGCATATCAAAGAACCCCAATAATTCAATTTTTGATGAAATCAAACAAAGTTTTATTTTGGACCCTTTGGACCTCAATGTGGACCAATTTAAAAACGGGGCCCAAAATCCAAAAACTAAATACACGGTTAGATTCAGCATATTAAAGAACCCCAAGAATTCAAGAATAAAACCCCATTGAAATTGGTCAAGAAATAAGCAATTTATACGAAGTATCTTCTTTTGCGCAATACTGTGCAATTAAATATTTCTTGCTATTGCGCAATACTGTACAATTGACAATTTCTTGCTATTGCGCAATATTGTGCTATTGGATATTTCTTGCTATTGCGCAATACTGTGCAATTGAAGATTTCTTGCTATTGCACAATACTTATTATATAATAATTTACACATCCTGTTTGGTGTGTATCTCCTACCATATCATTATTATTTGCTTTTAAATATAAATCAGAAATAACCAAATTAAAATGGAAAATTTTAAAAGAAAAAAAAAAGGAAAACCCCCCCCCCCCCCAAATTTTTTGAACCCCCTTATGATTCATCACCCCCAAACTCAATCCCAGCCTTCCCTTTGTGGTATGGTACCTTGCAGTACAATTTCAGAGAGATCCATACACTTGAACACAAGTTATTGTCTGGAAACTAGAAAAATGTGTTTTTTGGCCCCTTTTTGGCCCCAAATTCCTAAACAATTAGGGCAATTACCCCCAAACTCAGACCCAGCTTTCCCTTTGTGATATGGAACCTTGTAGTACAATATCAGAAAGATCCATACACTTACACACAAGTTATTGTCCTGAAACTAGAAAAATGCTTGTTTTTTGCCCCTTTTTGGCCCCTCATTCCTAAAATATTGAGGCAATTACCCCCATCATCAATCCCAGCCTTCCCTTTGTGGAATGGTATCTTGCAGTACAATTTCAGAGAGATCCATACACTTGAACACAAGTTATTGTCTGGAAACTAGAAAAATGCTTATTTTTGGCCCCTTTTTGGCCCCCAATTCCTAAACGTTTCAGCAATTACCCCCAAACTCAATTCCAGCTTTTCCTTTGTGATATGGAACCTTGTAGTACAATTTCAGAAAGATCCATGCACTTACACACAAGTTATTGTCATGAAACTAGAAAAAATGCTTGTTTTTTTGCCCCTTTTTGGGCCCCTAATTCCTAATATTTTGAGGCAATTACCCCCAAAATCAATCCCAGCATTCCTTTTGTGATATGGAACCTTGTGGTACAATGTCAAAGAGATCCATACACTAACACACAAGTTATGTCTGGAAGTTACAAAAATGCTTATTTTTGGCCCCTTTTTGGCCCCTTATTCCTTTACTGTTGGTACCATAACCCCCAAAATCATCCCAACCTTCCTTTTGTGGTATTGAACCTTGTGGTAAAATTTCATAGAGATCCATTCACTTAAACTAAAGTTAGAGTGCGAAAACCAATGGGTCTTTGGACGACGCCGGACGACGACGACGACGCCAAGGTCATACCAATATACGACCACAAAATTTTTTTTGCGGTCGTATAAAAATAATACAAGACTGACAAAGCCTAGAGGCTCCTGACTTGGGACAGGCGCAAAAATGCGGCGGGGTTAAACATGTTTATGAGATCTCAACCCTCCCCCTATACCTCTAGCCAATGTAGAAAAGTAAACGCATAACAATACGCACATTAAAATTCAGTTCAAGAGAAGTCCGAGTCTGATGTCAGAAGATGTAACCAAAGAAAATAAACAAAATGACAAAAATACATAAATAACAACAGACTACTAGCAGTTAACTGACATGCCAGCTCCAGACTTCAATTCAACTGATTGGAAGATTATGTCTTCATCATATGAATATCAGGCACAATCCTTCCCGTTAGGGGTTTAGTATCATACCATCATAACATATATGAGAAGAACATAACCCGTGTCATGCCAACAACTGGTTTTTAAATAAATGTGTTTAGTGCCGATGCAAAGACCCTATAAGTGAATCAATATTAACGCCAAAATATGCAATCTTTAATGACCTGACAACAGTATCGTAACTATATCCCTTCTTAATAAGTCTATTTAAAGGTTTTGTTAGCTTCAGAGGTGAATACTGACATTTTTGTGCTTTATAAAGAATATTTCCATAAAAAATTGGATGTGAAATACCTGAACGTATAAGAAGTCTGCTTGTTGAGCTATATTTACGAATGATGTCCTTATACCGATGATAAAATTTAGTAAATGTTTTGGCTAGTTTGTGATATTGAAAACCCTGGTGTAATAATTTTTCAGTAATACATAAATTTCTCTCGTTAAAATCTAAAACATTGTTACATACACGAGCGAATCGTACAAGTTGAGATATATAAACACCGTAAGATGGTGACAAGAAACGTCACCATCTAAAAATGGATAATTAACGATAGGAAATGAAAAATCATCTCTTTTATCATATATTTTAGTATTAAGCTTTCCGTTAATGATATACAGTAGATATCAAGATCGAGGAAAGGGCAGTGGTCATTGTCAGTATTAGCTTTATTTAAAGTAAGTTCAACAGGATAAATTTCTTTAGTATACATACTGAAGTCGTCATTATTGAGAGCCAAAATATCATCCAAATATCTAAAAGTATTATTAAATTTGTGTATCAGATGTTGTTTCGATCGGTCTTTGCTAATTTTTGTCATAAATTGTAACTCATAGCAATACAAAAAAAGGTCCGCAATAAGTGGTGCACAGTTAGTCCCCATTGGAATTCCGATAACCTGACGATATACGGAATCTCCAAAGCGAACAAAAATGTTATCTAGTAAAAATTCAAGGGCATATATAGTATCAAAGCATGTCCAATTGACATAGTTTTTTTGTTTATTGCTACTAAAAAATGGCCTAAAAGAGTTTGAACATATATATTCACATTCTGACTTTTTAAATGCCCATTTAATTAGGTGTGTGAATTTTTTCTTAATGAGAATGTGAGGCAATGTGGTATATAGGGTAGAAAAATCAAAACTTTGAACAGATTCAAAATCACCAATATATGCATGCAATTTATCAAGTACTTCCAACGAGTTCTTGACACTCCAAAAGTAATTAATTCCACTATTTTCGAAGGCCTTATTTGAACAATTTATTATCAGGTTTTTGATTGTACCAAGTGTACTGGTAAGAAGTATAGACACTTTAGTAGTGGAACAATGGCTTGAAGATTTTTTGTCAGCTTTTTCCCGTTTTATCCATTTCAAACAGTAAGTATGGAGTGAGTCGTGGATGATATTACGACACTCATTCCAATTAATAATTGACGGGGGACGATATTTAGGTCCTTTACTGAGGAATGATTTTAACTCTCGGTCTTGAACGATGTTAAGATCTCCTGTTATAACAGATCCATACACTTGAACACAAGTTATTGTCTGGAAACTAGAATAAAATGCTCCGCAGGGCGCAGCTTGATACGACCGCAGAGGTCGAAACCCTGAACAGTTGGGGCAAGTATGGACACAACATTCAAGCTTGATACAGCTCTGAATTTGGATTGTGATTAAATATTTGACACAGCATAGGTTTCTGACACAGAATGAATGTGGTCTAAGAACTTAAAATTTTTAAATTGGACATTCAACTATTATGGTCCAATATCCAAAATCTAAATACATGGTTAGATTCGGCATATCAAAGAACCCCAAGAATTCAATTTTTGATGAAATCAAACAAAGTTTAATTTTGGACCCTTTTGACCTCAATGTGGACAAAGTTGATAATGGGGCCCAAAAATCAAAAATCAAAATACATGGTTAGATTCAGCATATCAAAGAACCCCATATATTCAATTTTTGTTGAAATCAAACAAAGTTTAATTTTGGACCCCGATTTGGACCAACTTGAAAACTGGGCCCATAATCAAAAATCTAAATACATGTTTAATTTTGGACCCTTTGGACCTTAATGTAGACCAATTTGAAAACAGAACCAAAAATTAAGAATTTAAATACACGGTTAGATTCTGCATATCAAAGAACCCCAATAATTCAATTTTTGATGAAATCAAACAAAGTTTAATTTTGGACCCTTTGGACCTCAATGTGGACCAATTTAAAAACGGGGCCCAAAATCCAAAAGCTTAATACACAGTTAGAATCAGCATATTAAAGAACCCCAAGAATTCAAGAATAAAACCCCATTGAAATTGGTCAATAAATAAGCAATTTATACGAAGTATCTTCTTTTGCACAATACTGTGCAATTGAATATTTCTTGCTATTGCGCAATACTGTACAATTGACAATTTCTTGCTATTGCGCAATATTGTGCTATTGGATATTTCTTGCTATTGCACAATACTGTGCAATTGAAGATTTCTTGCTATTGCGCAATACTGTGCAATTGAAGATTTCTTGCTATTGTGCAATACTGTGCAATTGAAAATTTCTTGCTATTGCACAATACTTATTTTATAATAATTTACACATCCTGTTTGGTGTGTATCTCCTACCATATCATTATTATTTGCTTTTAAATATAAAACAGAAATAACCAACTTAAAATGGAAAATTTTAAAAGAAAAAAAAGGAAAAAAAGAAAAAAAAGGAAAAAAAAAACAATCCCCCCCCCCAAATTTTTTGAACCCCCTTATGATTCATCACCCCCAAACTCAATCCCAGCCTTCCCTTTGTGGTATGGTACCTTGCAGTACAATTTCAGAGAGATCCATACACTTGAACACAAGTTATTGTCTGGAAACTAGAAAAATGCTTATTTTTGGCCCCTTATTCCTAAACGTTTTGGGCAATTACCCCCAAACTCAATTCCAGCTTTCCCTTTGTGATATGGAACCTTGTAGTACAATTTCAGAAAGATCCATACACTTACACACAAGTTATTGTCCTGAAACTAGAAAAATGCTTGTTTTTTGCCCATTTTTTGGCCCCTAATTCCTAATATTTTGAGGCAATTACCCCCAAAATCAATCCCAGCATTCCCTGTGTGATATGGAACCTTGTGGTACAATTTCAGAGAGATCCATACACTTGAACACAAGTTTTTGTCTGGAAACTAGAAAAATGCTTATTTTTGGCCCCTTATTCCTAAATGTTTTGGGCAATTACCCCCAAACTCAATTCCAGCTTTCCCTTTGTGATATGGAACCTTGTAGTACAATTTCAGAAAGATCCATACACTAACACACAAGTTATTGTCATGAAACTAGAAAAATGCTTGTTTTTTGCCCCTTTTTTGGCCCCTAATTCCTAATATTTTGAGGCAATATCCGCCAAAATTAATCCCAGCATTCCCTGTGTGATATTGAACCTTGTGGTACAATATCAGAGAGATCCATACACTAACACACAAGTTATGTCTGGAAGTTACAAAAATGCTTATTTTTGGCCCCTTTTTGGCCCCTAATTCCTTAATTGTTGGTACCATAACCCCCGAAATCAATCCCAACCTTCCTTTTGTGGTATTGAACCTTATGGTAAAATTTCATAGAGATCCATTCACTTAAACTAAAGTTAGAGTGCGAAAACCAATGTGTCTTCGGACGACGCCGGACGACGACGACGACGACGCCAACGTCATTCCAATATACGACCGCAAAAATTTTTGCGGTCGTATAAAAATGTGTTTTTTGGCCCCTTTTTAGCCCCAAATTCCTAAACGTTTAGGGCAATTACCCCCAAACTCAAACCCAGCTTCCCCTTTGTGATATGGAACCTTGTAGTACAATTTCAGAAAGATCCATACACTTACACACAAGTTATTGTCCTGAAACTAGAAAAATGCTTGTTTTTTGCCCCTTTTTGGCCCCTAATTCCTAAAATATTGAGGCAATTACCCCATCATCAATCCCAGCCTTCCCTTTGTGGTATGGTACCTTGCAGTACAATTTCAGAGAGATCCATACACTTGAACACAAGTTATTGTCTGGAAACTAAAAAAATGCTTATTTTTGGCCCCTTTTTGGTCCCCAATTCCTAAACGTTTCGGCAATTACCCCCAAACTCAATTCCAGCTTTCCCTTTGTGATATGGAACCTTGTAGTACAATTTCAGAAAGATCCATACACTTACACACAAGTTATTGTCATGAAACTAGAAAAATGCTTGTTTTTTGCCCCTTTTTTGGCCCCTAATTCCTAAAATTTTGAGGCAATTACCCCCAAAATCAATCCCAGCATTCCTTTTGTGATATGGAACCTTGTGGTACAATGTCAGAGAGATCCATACACTAACACACAAGTTATGTCTGGAAGTTACAAAAATGCTTATTTTTGGCCCCTTTTTGGCCCCTAATTCCTTTACTGTTGGTACCATAACCCCCAAAATCAATCCCAACCTTCCTTTTGTGGTATTGAACCTTGTGGTAAAATTTCATAGAGATCCATTTACTTAAACTAAAGTTAGAGTGCGAAAACCAATGTGTCTTTGGACGACGCAGGACGAAGCCGACAACGACGACGACGACGCCAACGTCATACCAATATACGACCACAAAAATTATTTTGCTGTCGTATAAAAACCAATTGTTCAAAGAACAATTGAAGGTCTTTCCACATCAATTTTCTAAATAATTGATAGGAAGCTACTTCTGGTTTACTCAAAGTTATTAATAGCATCAAAGTATAGATTTCTTCATACTGATTCAATTAATAAATGGTTTCTATATACTTTTGCCTGAAATAAGAAAGATAATTGCCAACTTCCGGTTTAGAAAATGTCACTTCCGGTCTCATATGATAGCTTTATTCACACTGATTCCAAAAATATATAGTTTGTATATACTTATGCCTGTAATAAGGAAGATAATATGCTACTTCCAGTTTATAAAAATGTCACTTCCGGTCTCAAAAGATAGGTTAACCTATGATCATTCAAAAAATATATGGTTTCTATGTACTTTTCCATGAAATAAGTGCAAAAAATACTACTTCCGGTTCACTCAAGGTCACTTCCGGTTGACATTTTTCAAGGTCATATGTCAACAAACAGTTTGCAAAAGACCCTATGGCTTTATCATGTACCAAGTTGGAGTAATAATTAATTAACCTTATATTGAATCATTTCAGGGACAATAACTCCCATAAGATGTCATTGGATTGTTTCAGACCAAATGTTTCATATCTTAATCACAATTAGGCAAACATTTTGCACTTGTTCTTTAATTTGTATCTTTAAAAGTGACAGAGGAGATCAAATAACAAGGAAAAGTCCAAATTTAGAATATGACCTTGACCTTTGACCTTGGCCTCAATTTCATTTAAATGGACCAAGGAACTCAAATCAATATACCTTAGGTCTCTATCACTTACCATTCATGCTATACATTTATATATCCCTTATGTCAAATACAGAAGGGGAAATAACTCTCATATGGAGTTTACGTATCGCTTCGGTCAAAATTGGACAAAACATCCTGAGGATATAACGAGCAATTTGGTAAAATAAATTTGTCGCTTTCTTTTACGGTTACAGAGGAGATGCAGTCACAAGGAAAACAGTGTTTGGGGAGATAACTCCTACAAAGAAAATTGTTCGGCTTAGAATGGGTGAAAATAAAAAGCGCATAAACTGTATGATATTATATAAGAAATATCTAAGCGACATCTTGTGAAACAAAAATATTATGTGAAAACAAAATAAGGCGGAAGAAAAAAATAATAATAATAATAAATATAAATCAATTGTTTTAAAAATAATTGTTAAACGGTCTTTCCCCTCCGAAACATGATTAATTGGTTTTTTGCTTGCTTTGTTGGTTGGTTGGTTGGTCGGTCGGTCGATTGATTGATTGATTGATTGCATGGCACTTTCTCTGTGGGACGCAGCTAACTTAAATAACGCCTATATTCTGACCGAACGTGACTGCGTACTTAGACATCCCGCACAGCTAAACGGACGCCTGAGATGTCCTCATAAAAATTGATCCTAGCATCATTCGTTTATAAATTTTCTCTAGTTTCTATGTTACCTCGGACTTCCATTTTTCATCTATTTGTTGTGTATGCATTTTGATTGAATTTGTAGGAAAACGGAGTAAATTTTATCTTGGAAGTTTTATTTTCCTTATTTGGATATGCAATGTTTTATTCTAAATTTAGGTCCGCGCGCGAGATGGTGTTGTGAAGTCACGTGACCCTCGAATATATATGTCTGGAGTTAGAATATAAATTTCTTTTCAGGGGAGACCGTTGAACAGAGCACATGTGTATTGATCAAAGAAACACAATAACTATTGTTTTTATTTTGTACAGGTCATTGTTGTCGGATCATGCATACATATTACGTACACATGTTTACGGGAGCACAGATTTGTATTTTAATGCATGTTTAGAAATTTGAGTGTAGGATTTCAGTAATACATTGATTTTAATTTCGCAATCAAGCGGACCGCACGTGCCTCATCGATTAATTTCAGAAAATACATGAATTGGAGCAGATTTTTGCAGGGATGGATTTCTATTTCAGAAAGAAATTTGTACATAAGAAGGATTAGCATTTTACAGTATAATGTATGGAACTAAAAGCGATCTTTTTTTCTTTTCTTTGAAATGGGATAACTAAAAAAAAAATCAGTTGAAAAAAAAGGAGGGGGGGAATGTAGTGGTAGACTGTGGTTCATTATTGAGATAAGAAACATTTACAACATGATAGCTGCAAAGTTTGAAGTTTTGAAAGTAATTTGTTGATTCGACCATAACAGGGACATTGACCCTGCAATAAAATGACGCGTACCATTTCGACAAAAAATTTCTAGTAAACACGTGTTGCGACAAACTTTTTGGTTAAATTGTTTTGTCGATATCTATAACTCTTTCTAGGAAGGAGCGATATGAACCTAATGTAAAAAATCACAACATGACCTTGACCTTTGACCTTGACCTAGTTTTCTATTCTTTAGGACCAAGGACCTCAAATCAACAGACCCTAGGTCTCTATCACTTATGGTTTACCAGTTACAAATGCATATCACTTATTTCAAATGCATTAGGGGAAATGACTCTCATATGGAGTCTTCGTATCGCTTCCGTCAAAATTGGACAAAATATCCTGAGGATATAGCGAGCCATTTGGTAAAATAAATTTGTCGCTTTCTTTTACAGTTACGGAGGAGATGCAGTCACAAGGAAACCAGTGTTCGGGGAGATAACTCCTACAAAGAAAATTGTTCGGCTTAGAATGGGTGAAAATAAAAAGCGCATAAACTGTATGATACTATATAAGAGATATCTAAGCGACATCTTGCGAAACAAAAATTTTACGCGAGAACAAAATTAGGCGGAAGAAAAAAAAAATAATAATAATTAATAAAATGCTCCGCAGGGCGCAGCTTGATACGACCACAGAGGTCGAACCCTGAACAGTTGGGGCAAGTATGGACACAACATTCAAGCTTGATACAGCTCAGAATTTGGATTGTGATTAAATATTTGACACAGCATAGGTTTCTGACACAGAATGAATGTGGTCTAAGAACTTAAAAATTTTAAATTGGACATTCACCTATTATGGTCCAATATCCAAAATCTAAATACATGGTTAGATTCAGCATATCAAAGAACCCCAAGAATTCAATTTTGATGAAATCAAACAAAGTTTAATTTTGGACCCTTTTGACCTCAATGTGGACAAAGTTGATAACGGGGCCCAAAAATCAAAAATCTAAATACATGGTTAGATTCAGCATATCAAAGAACCCCATATATTCAATTTTTGTTGAAATCAAACAAAGTTTAATTTTGGACCCCGATTTGGACCAACTTGAAAACTGGGCCCATAATCAAAAATCTAAATACATGTTTGGATTCAGCATATCAAAGAACCCTAAGAATTCAATTTTTATTAAAATCAAACTTAGTTTAATTTTGGACCCTTTGGACCTGAATGTAGACCAATTTGAAAACGGAACCAAAAATTAAGAATCTAAATACACGATTAGATTTGGCATATCAAAGAACCCCAATAATTCAATTTTTGATAAAATTAAACAAAGTTTAATTTTGGACCCTTTGGACCTCAATGTGGACCAATTTAAAAACAGGGCCCAAAATCCAAAAACTTAATACACGGTTAGATTCAGCATATTAAAGAACCCCAAGAATTCAAGAATAAAACCCCATTGAAATTGGTCAAGAAATAAGCAATTTATATGAAGTATCTTCTTTTGCACAATACTGTGCAATTGAATATTTCTTGCTATTGCGCAATACTGCACAATTGACAATTTCTTGCTATTGCGCAATATTGTGCTATTGGATATTTCTTGCTATTGCGCAATACTGTGCAATTGAAGATTTCTTGCTATTGCGCAATACTGTGCAATTGAAGATTTCTTGCTATTGTGCAATACTGTGCAATTGAAAATTTCTTGCTATTGCAGAATACTAATTATATATAAATTTACACATCCTGTTTGGTGTGTATCTCCTACCATATCATGTTTATTTGCTTTTAAATATTAATCAGAAATAACCAACTTAAAATGGAAAATTTTAAAAGAAAAAAAAAAGGAAAAAAAGAAAAAAAAGGAAAAAAAACCAAAAATCCCCCCCCCCAAATTTTTTGAACCCCCTTATGATTCATCACCCCCAACTCCAATCCCAGCCTTCCCTTTGCGGTATGGTACCTTGCAGTACAATTTCAGAGAGATCAATACACTTGAACACAAGTTGTTGTCTGGAAACTAGAAAAATGTGTTTTTTGGCCCCTTTTTGGCCCCCAATTCCTAAACGTTTCGGGCAATTACCCCCAAACTCAATTCCAGCTTTCCCTTTGTGATATGGAACCTTGTAGTACAATTTCAGAAATATCCAAACACTTACACACAAGTTATTGTCATGAAACTAGAAAAATGCTTGTTTTTTGCCCCTTTTTTTGCCCCTAATTCCTAAAATTTTGAGGCAATTACCACCAAAATCAATCCCAGCATTCCCTGTGTGATATGGAACCTTGTAGTACAATTTCAGAGAGATCCATACACTTAAACACAAGTTATTGTCTGGAAACTAGAAAAATGCTTATTTTTGGCCCCTTTTTGGCCCCTTATTCCTAAACATTTCGGGCAATTACCCCCAAACTCAATTCCAACTTTCCTTTTGTGATATGGAACCTTGTAGTACAATTTCAGAAAGATCCATACACTTTCACACAAGTTATTGTCATGAAACTAGAAAAATGCTTGTTTTTTGCCCCTTTTTTTGCCCCTAATTCCTAATATTTTGAGGCAATTACCCCCAAAATCAATCCCAGCATTTCCTTTGTGATATGGAACCTTGTGGTACAATGTCAGAGAGATCCATACACTAACACACAAGTTATATCTGGAAGTTACAAAAATGCTTATTTTTGGCCCCTTTTTGGCCCCTAATTCCTTAACTGTTGGTACCATAACCCCCAAAATCAATCCCAACCTTCCTTTTGTGGTATTAAACCTTATGGTAAAATTTCATAGAGATCCATTCACTTAAACTAAAGTTAGAGTGCGAAAACCAATGTGTCTTCAGATGATGCCGGACGACGACGCCAACGTCATACCAATATACAACCGCAAAAATTTTTGCGATCGTATAAAAACCAATTGTTCAGAGAACAATTGAAGGTCTTTCCACCCATAAAGATCTATTTTTATATGAAAATATTAAAATTTGGTTTAAAATGTCATTTCCATCGTCAAATGATAGCTTATTGTACACTGATTCCAAAAATATATGGTTTCTATACATCTTTTTTTAAATAAGGGAGATAATTTGTCACTTCCGGTTTGAAAAATGTTATTTCCGGTATAATTTGAATGTTTACTTGACACTGATTCCAAAAATATATGGTTCTATATACTTTTATATTAAATAAGTATAAAAAATAGCTACTTCCGGTTTACACAAGGTCACTCCCAGTTGGATTTTTCAAGGTCAAATGGCTTGCAACCTAATGCAAAAAGTCCCATGTCTTTATCATGTATACATATGAGGAAAAATCAAAGGTCAAAATCTAGAACGTCAAATTTACCTATGACCTTGAGATCAATTTCAAGGTCATTATCCAAGGACCTCAAATCAAAAGACCCTAGGTCTTAATTATATATAGTTAATGAGTTATATCACCATATGCGTATTTTTAAATACAAGAGGGGAGAAAACTCTTATTTAATGTTAGCGCACCCTTTAAACCAAAATGTATGTGTTACGACATGTCGCAACTAACAATTTAGTAATAATATGTTGTCAATATCTTATACGGTTTTTGAAAAGAAGTGAGAATAAGCCAAAATTAAAAATTTAGAATATGACCTTGACCTTTGACCTTGACCTAATTTTCTTTTTTTTGGACCAAGGACCTCAAATCCAAAGACCCCAGGCAAATATCACTTATGGTTTACCAGTTAGAAACGCATATCACTTATATCAAATACATAAGGGGGAATAACTCTCATATGGAGTCTCCAGAACGCTTCGGTGAAAACCAAACTCAACATCCTGAAGATATAGCGAGCAATTTGGTAAAATAAATTTGTCGTAATCTTTTACCGTTGCGAAGGAGTAGTGGCCACAAGAAAAACAGTGTTTGGGGAGATAACTCTTACAAAGTAAAGTATTCGGTTAAGCGGTTGTCAGTTTCAAAAGCGTATCTGAGACTACTATAACACAGAGATTGGTCACTTCCCGTACTGACCAGTCAAATAGTAATTAATTGTAAGTCTTCGATCACGTGACTCGGCACGTGACTCGCAATGATTGACAAGAAGGATTCGACCGCCATTTTCGACAGCGAAAGAGAAAATAATAATTAACAAATGTGGATTTATAAAGAGTGTTATGTTCCGGTAAGTGTGAATATAAGATTTGACATGTTCATAAATGTTGGTTTATAAGCACTTTAAATAAAATAAGTGCAGTTATAGACTTGAATTTACCGACCAAACCGGAAAGTAACCTCGAGTTATTACCAGTCCGTGGGACAGGGTCAATGAGCAACTCACCCATAACTTACATTCAGATGAACAATCTGTTTTCCGGATAATGTATGTGCAAGCCTTAGTAATTAACCGATGTAATGATGTAAAATTTGTAATTATATGAAATTCCAATTTTTCTGTATCAGTAAGTTCCCGCTGCAGAACTGAGAAACACACGAGACAAGTTGCACACACACAACATGAGGTCTGATAGGTGAATTTGTATTGTTAGTGAAAGAAATTTAGATTTATGTTTGGTTCCTTGATAATATATATGCAGTCTATACATGCTAGTATAATAATATTATGCAATGAAAATGTGTCACCATGTGAAATACCAGTACATCATGAGTTCCTAAATAGACGTATTTTTTTTAAATAATTGACCCAAACATGATGTAAAAAGTACATGCACCTTTGGTCTGCATCCTTTATCAGTTGAACTATTTTGATCCATATTGACATGATTGGTCAATTACTGCTGAGTCTCAAGTCTCAGATTACTGTCTTAAAAATTAATGAATTGCCTATGCTATAAACTTGACAAAGATTATTTCTTTTTATTTATAATATATTCTTTATTGTAGGAATACCCCCAGAAAGAAATCACGCATTAGAAGAAGGGAGAAGTACTACAGGAGAAAATGACTTTTTTTAGTATTTTTTTAATTTCATTGAATTTGTCATGCTTGTCTTACATGGAGAAATAAATATTTAAGTCTTTGAATATACATTTTTATTATTATATACATTAAAACTAAGACAGGAATGCAGAAATTCACTAACACGCTCAGTTTGGATAACAGTTCAATGACAGAAAAAAAAACAAGTAACCACACATCTTTATATATTAAAGGAATAGCCACTTGAAGCAAACTTTAAGGAGATTTTTATATATTTTTGCTAATGATCATCAGACAACTCCTTTAGTCCAAATGAAGTTCAATGAAGTGGATGTAAGTTATTGGAATGCACCGTAATTACCTTCAACAATGAGAAAACCTATACCGTGCAGTCAGCTTCAAAAGTCCCTGACATTGAAAATATATAACAATTCACTAGAGAAAACGAAGTGTCTACAATAACAAAGCAATTTACGAAAATTCAAATATGACGGACATGAACCAACAGCAACCATTGAATTACAGGCTCCTGACTTTGAGAGGGGCACATAAAGAATGTGACAATGTTAAATATTTTTAGGCGCTCATCACCACCACTAGCATGGGACATTGGTGTAACGACATAACATAAAAACAAACTTTAAACATAATTTGAAAATAGTTCATTTCAGTTTAATCAGGCTGACTGTACATGAAATATTTGCCATTGACAAGCAGTTGTGAATCAAAGTTGAATTTACAGAAAGGTGACATCAATATATGCTATCATATTTAACATTCTTGTTTAGATCTGACATTGCTACGTATTTATACATTCCGCATTATTTTTGGCTTCTCAGAATTTTCACATGGTAAACTATCAGCAGTTACTCAACAAAAAAATGTTATAGGGAACCTATTTACAAAGCATCATGCCGACAACAATTAACATGGTTTGTCACCAAACATTGAACAAGCACATTTATATTTGCTGTGGCTAAAAAAACTAAAGCAAATCACAACTCTTTTCATCTGAGTTGCTCAATTATTAGGGTTACAAAAAGCATAGCGATATAACTAAAACATACGACACTTTAACAATAGACAATATTCAAATTTTCAAAAACTTTACGGCTCTTTATTGAAGCACAAAATTTCTTGTCTGGGATTTTGAAAGAGGGCACATATTTCTGGTGTTGAAAAAATGTCATCGTAATTTACACTAATGTGGTTCTATTTATGTTAACATAGAGATAATTTGATTATTCAGTCACGTAATTTTGAAGCTTCTTCGTTCTGATTTACATGTACTTGCGGTTGGTGCTTCTTTTGGAGTTTTTGTAGTTTTTTGCAGTCTTTGCAGCAGGGACGTATAGTCATCCTCAGATTCAATATCTGATGCAGTATATTCACCACGTAAAAGATCAAGATTGAGATCACTATCATCCCAAGATAAAAAATCAATGTTACTGGACATTGTGAATTGGAAAATGAAAATGCCGGCGATATTTTGGGAACATATATATATAATTTGTAGGGCTTATGTTTGCTTTATGTATCCATTGCAGTTATAACCTCTTTGCTGATCTGTTACGTAAGGAAATTACTCAATTACCTTTAATGAATTTTTTTTCTCTCTTCTGTGATCGCCGCTTATTACATTGTTTGCAAAAACTTGACCTAATTATCAGACGGAAATTTAAAAAAAAGTGTGGGGGGGGGGGGGGGGGGGTTGAAACTTGTTGAAAAAAAAAATTTACGTTGGATAATCTTAATGAGGGTCTGGATGGGGGTTCTTTATTTCCTATAATTTCTATGCCATTTTTCTCTATTTTTTAAATCTTAATAACTTATTATTTTCTGTTCTCTATTCTTTATTTGTCGGTCCATTTTTCTCCATTCTATACTTTTTTTGCCCCTATTTCTCCATTCTATAAAACCCCATCCACACCCTCCTGAATCCTACCACAAGTGCACCGACGATATTTGACTAGGTTTACTACAATAAACATGTATAATGGGCACTCAGCAGTGAAATACCTTACAAGTATAGAATAAAAGTTTACTGCAATAAACGGAGCCTCGTGTACCTTGGGCACCCAGCTGTGAAACAAAATTCATCTCCCATGCTTTTGAGCCTACCTGTCTTTACAGGTAAAATATTTGTATATTCGATACAATTAACGGACGTGTAGCAAAACAATGTAACTGTAAGATTGATAAGATTAATCACATTCACATTTTCAAGAGTGGCCGCATAATAACAAACTATTAACAAATTATTAATGATTAAAAACAAAAATTTAAATATGAATAGAGATAACTGCATTTGAAAGATAAAAACTATGTTCTTTTTTTTTTTGATTAATTCAATTTTGTTTTTAAATTATTTTTAAAAGAAAAATAATAATATCCGATACTGTTATAGTATTCTCAGTGATAGGTGATATATGTCGTCTGCTACGGTCGAATACGAAACTACGTTAAAATAACGTAGCTAACTACCGGAGACTCAGATAATCCGATAAATCTATAGTGACCAATCTCTGTGTTATAGTAGTCTCAGAGCGTATATACTGTTCGATATCATATACCAAATATCTAAGCGACATCTTATGAAACAACAATACTACGCAAGAAAAAAATTAGGCGGAAGAAAAAAAAAAAATAATTATAATAATTAAAAAACCAATTGTTCAGAGAACAATTGAAGGTCTTTCCACCCATGCAGATCAATTTTGAAATAGAACTACCGTAGAAAGGCTTGTATAGTTCGCAGTGGTAC